TGATGGATGGATGGGTGGGTGAGTGGATGGGTGGGGTTTGTGTGGATGGGTGGATGGATGCATGGATGGATGGATGGATGGATGGATGGATGGATGGATAGGTGGGTGGATGGGTGAATGTGTGGATGGGAGGGTGGGTGGGTGGGTGAGAGGGGAGACAAATGAAATCAAACCAACCTTACCTAGAACATCACACCTGCAGAACCATCATAGTCATTCCTCTACCACAGATCAACTGGAAGCACAGCACAGGAAGCTGAGTTGAAGCAAGACTGCCTCACTCCCCTGGTGAGGTCCTGAACAAAGAAAAGTGCTTCAGCCTCCAGGCTCTCCTGCAGCCCCCAGCATCTCTCATCTCCAGAAAGCCTTTCTGCAAAAGCATGAAAACTGAGTAATTCTCTCAGTAAGGCAATTTCCCTTTGCCCCTTTGATATCTTTGGAACTGTACTGCAGGGTTTTTCTTCACTGAATGTGCTTCCTGAGTCCCAGCTCAGTGGGCATAAGGAGATTTGGAGAGGAGGCTGTGCCCAGGGGTTGTCCTTTCCCTCAGCAGGATTAATTGATGATGGGGGAAGGGGACAGACTGAGTTTTTTCCATCCCCACTGGGGACAGTGAGAAGCATGTGGCCAGGCAAAAATATAAAGGGCTCCTTTATGATCACCACCATATATATATGATATATATGTACATATATATATAAGCTATATATATATATATGAGCTCATATATATATATGAGCTATACACACACACACACACACACACACACACACACACACACACACACACACACATATATATATACACATACACATAAGCTTTTCTATTTAAAAAAACTCACTCTGAAAAAGTATCTGTTTGGTCCCCATATAGCTATGCCCCTTAAGATCAGCAGTTAAAAGTGGATGTTCTAGAGTTAGCCTGTCCAGTTGTTTAGCTCCCCTACTTTCTGGCCCAGCTGTGTGACCTCGGGCTCTCTGAGCCTCAGTTTCCTCACCTGTAAAGGATGCTAATTGTACAGTTGGGAGTAAGAGCTCGATAAATTATAGCTTCCATAACTGTCAAAGTATGGTGGGCACAGAGATGCACTGCCTAGACCCCCTTGGAGGGAAGACTCACTGCCCAGCTGTGGGGGGCTGGGTAGAGAGAATGGAGGCTCAGCCCCCAGCCCCCAGGCTTCCACTCCTTCAGGTTCTCTCAGCTACAGAGGGCCACTTCGCCCCAGGGCAGCCTTTACCAGGTGACTGAGCAAGAGTGGGGCATAAAGGTTCCATCCGCCATCTTGCCTGGGTACTAGGCACGCTGACAGGCACTACTTGCTCCACACCTCCCCTGGAGTTGGCTGAGCCTTTCTCGGGCCTCACAGTTCCACGTCTCCCTCTGCCCAATTCTGCTTTTCCTCCCTTCCCTTCACATCTGTCGATCCCCAGTAAACTGTCTCAGCCTCCACTTCAAGGGAACCCAGCCTATGGAACATTTTTCATTATTTTGGACCAATGCCACCAGTGCGATAAGCCCTGGGTCCAGACTTGGCCACTGTTTCCAGTTTCCCTGAGTCACTCCAGGAGGCCCAGGATGTCTGCAGACCACAGTGCTGGAGCAGTGGGGACCACAGCAATGCCAATGCTTGGTCAGAGCTCAGGATGCACATGGCTTGCCCCCGTAATGGCCGTCCTATGTCAGATTTACCAGCTGCTCCCTAGGGTTCAATGGAACCGTCCCTCCCTCCTTTCCTCCCTCCCTTCCTTCTTTCCCTCATTTCTTCCTTGGCCAGACATTATGCCAATGTGAGTTCTTTGGCATTATTAGGACAGGGAGCTTACAGTCTAATATGAAAACAACTCAATTCAGAATGATAAGCATTCAGATAAAGAATGTCATTGATCGGGGAGCCTGGGTGGCTCAGTCAGTTAAGCGGCTGACTTCGGCTCAGGTCATGATCTCGCGGTCCGTGAGTTCGAGCCCCGCGTCGGGCTCTGTGCTGACAGCTCAGAGCCTGGAGCCTGTTTCAGATTCTGTGTCTCCCTCTCTCTGACCCTCCCCCTGTTCATGCTCTGTCTCTCCCTGTCTCAAAAATAAATTTTAAAAAAAAGTTTAAAAAAATTAAAAAAAAAAAAAAAAAAAGAATGTCACTGATCACAAAGGGGCACCCAGAGGATCAGGAGAAGCTTTCCGGAGGAGGAGATGCCTTTGCTGAGTCCTAAAGGACAGGTAGGAGTTGGGCAGCCAAAGTGGGTAGGGGGGAGATGTTCTAGGGAAAGGGGAAGCTCATATCAGCCTGGACCAGCGATCCATGCACTTGTTGGAATGTTGGGGGTGGTTGCCAATTTCCTTGAAAGCAGATTTGCTTCCTAACGACTCAAGTTCAGGGTCAGCACATGAGCCTATAGACATGGTCCCCTTGCAGTTAGCAACCCATCTGCTTCCCAAAGATGATTATTACATTGCCCTTTGAGCTGGTCTTCTTCAGCTCATAACCCAATTCCTTCCCTCTTTGCAGGTAGGTCCCACCCGCCAGCCTGTCATCACTCTCACGCTCCAGCCTTCCCCCCTCCCACATGCTCACCTCTGCAAATGCACAGCAGAACAGTCCTTAATGCCCCTTCCAGGCCAGAGGCAGGTGACAGGGTTCAGGACATGCTACTCCGAAATATGGCATCCTGGTATAGTAAATGTTTTGAGCTGATGGAGTTTGAGAAAGTCAGAGAAAACAGTATAAGCAGGAAGTTCTCTCTGAACTTCACCGTGCTTCTCCCCATTAGATCCTCACATGACAGGTGTTTTCCGTGTACTCAAAGGAAAGGAGCATCTTATCCTCCAAGAAGGAGGAAGATTGAGAGGAAACTGAACAAACAGACCTTGCTAAGTTTCCCCCAGTTTACTACACTTGCTCATGCTCCTTCACTGTCCTACACGCTGTCCACTCTTCATCAAACCTAGCGCGAAAACACTCAGGCTGAACGTTCCTTCATGACTTCATTTCCTCATGGGCTCCAGTGCCAGGTAAAACTTGGGTTAAATTAATTTGTGTGGTTTTCGGTTATTATGTCAGCTTCGTTGGCAGACCCAGTCAGGGCCCCTAAGAAGGCCAAGGAAGACTTTTTCCTTCCCTCCAGTGAGGGGGTCCTTCCCTCTGGCGGGGGCTGGGGGCAGGGGCCCGGTGTTGCAGCCACTCATGTGGCGCCTCTGAAAGCCTTCACTTTGGCTCATGCACTGAGAGCTGAGCTTCCCAGCTCTGCTCCAGGCTTGCGGGGGGGCTTGCTCTCCCGCAGAGTTGGCCACGCAGCAAATTGCTATAAACACAATATTATCTTCCCCCGCAGAACCCATGATAAAACCCAAGATTATTTCCAAGAGTGCCAGAGAAAACCTTAACAAGTTTTTTTTGTTTGTTTGTTTATTTATGTTTGGGACAGAGAGAAACAGAGCATGAACGGGGGAGGGGCAGAGAGAGAGGGAGACACAGAATCGGAAACAGGCTCCAGGCTCTGAGCCATCAGCCCAGAGCCTGACGCGGGGCTCGAACTCCCGGACCACGAGATCGTGACCTGGCTGAAGTCGGACGCTTAACCGACTGCGCCACCCAGGCGCCCCTAACTTAACAAGTTTTTTTAATGGTCACTCATGGTGGTGCCCTGGCAGTTTTGTGGGAAACAGGAGATATATGACCACCACCTAGAGAGTCACCTCTCCCCTCCTTAATCCAGAATCATTTCTGTTTTCCTTTTTAAAAGCAGCTTTATTGAGATATAATTTACATACCATACAACCCACCCGTTTGAACCATATAATTCAGTGGCTTTTAGTATATTCACAGACTTGTGTACCCATTACCATGATCGATTTTTTGAACATTTATTACCCCTAAAAGGAACACTGGACCTCTTTGCTGTCAACCCCCCCAAACTCTCCAACCCCATCAGCCTTAAGCTACTACTAATGTACCTTCTACCTTTATAGATTTCACTATTCTGGACTTTTCATGTAACCTTCCCCTTGGCGGGCCATTGTCTACATCATCAACCATCCTCATCACTATTATCTGTAGAACCCTTTACAGATTATGAAGTCCTTTCATATAGAGTAAAACCTTGGTTTGCGAGCATAATTTGTTGTAATACAAAGTGAGCATGTTTGTAACTCAAAGCACTTGTGTATCAAAGCAAATTTCCCCATAAGAAATAATGGAAACTCGGGGCGCCTGGGTGGCTCAGTCGGCTAAGCGTCCGACTTCAGCTCAGGTCACGATCTCGCGGTCCGTGAGTTCGAGCCCCACGTCGGGCTCTGGGCTGATGGCCCAGAGCCTGGAGCCTGCTTCCGATTCTGTGTCTCCCTCTCTCTCTGCCCCTCCCCCGTTCATGCTCTGTCTCTCTCTGTCCCAAAAATAAATAAATGTTAAAAAAAAAAATTAAAAAAAAAAAAAAAGAAAGAAAGAATGGAAACTCTGGGGCACCTGGGTGACTCAGTCAGTTAGGCATCAGACTCCGGCTCAGGTCATAATCTCGCGGTTCATCAGTTGGAGCCCCACGTCAGGCTCTGTGCTGACAGCTTGGAGCCTGGAGCCTGCTTCAGATTCTGTTTCCCTCTCTTTCTGCCCCTCCCCCTCCCCCACACACTGTCTCTCTCTCTCTCTCTCTCTCTCTCTCTCTCTCAAAAATAAACATTAAAAAAATTTTTTAAAAAGAAATAATGGAAATTCAGATGATTTGTTCCACAATGCAAAAATATTCATATAAAGATGATTGCATTACTGTAATATAATACAAAATAATAAAGAAAATACAAAATATAAAGAAAATAAATTAACCCGCACTTACCTTTGACAACCTTTGTAGCTAGTGTGAGGGAGACAAGAAAGAGGAGGGTTATTGTGTAGGATGACTTTCACTATCACAAAGGAAATCACTGCTATCTACCGGCTCAATGGAATCTTTTTCTTTTTGTGCAACTTTCATGAGAAGCCTATCCAATAACTCTTGCTTTTGCCTCCTTTTGCGGTTTTTGCGGAAATGTGACATTGCATTGCCGTTAAACAGATTCATCGCCCGCACTGCTACAGCCTTATTGGGGTGGTGCTTTTCTACAAAATTTTGCACCGTTTCCCACATTTTACACATCTCCCTAATCTCATTTGAAGTGAGGGATTCCTCCCGCCTCTTTCTCCTCCTCCTCTGCAGACAAGATGCAGACGTAGAGTTCTTATAAAATCTTGCAATTTCGGCCACTTGCATACCTCGTTCGTACTTCTCAATGATTTCCTTAACTTCCACCATAATCATCTCCTTCTTCTTACCACCTTCCTTTTCAACCTTTTTCTGCATGGGCACCATTGTTGGGGTACAGTATTAATAAACTCTTGTCCTATACTGTATTTCATGTAACTGGCAATCAGGCAGCAGAGGAAAGGGTCTGTATCTGCAGGCAGCCTGACCTAGAATGAAGCAAAGCATTCCTAAGCTGACTCTTGGATGGAAAAGCAAAGGACTGTCCATAGGTGCTTGGAAGTGACAAAAAAATACACCAGTGCCAGTTGTAGAAACCTTCCAACGTTCTGAAAAATCACTGACTTCTGCCAAACACAGTGGCCTGAGACCAAGCATCCGAGCGTGGGAGACAATCACCCACAATCCTGCAGGGAGAGAGAAAAAGAGAGAGAGAGACAGAAGAACCATTGGCTCAGTGTGATCATGTGACGTTCAGCATCATGTACAACTCATATTGCAAGACATCGCTCGTTTATCAAGTTAAAACTTATTAGAAATGTTCACGCATCTTGCGGAACACTCGCAGAATGAGTTACCCACAGTCCAAGGTTTTACTGTATATTATGGTGATGGTTGGTTGTAAAAAATAAAAATAAAAAACTGGCCCAATTCTTCCTCACTCCCTTTGTTACACAATTCGGTGGTGGCCTCCCAGTGTGAGTGTGGTGTCTCATCCTACCCTTCCCCTCGATTCTGGCTGCCACCCTGCTTGCCTCGACCAATGGGATGCCAGCCAACAGGCAGGAAGCAGAGGTGGCAACAAACGCTGTGTGCTTCTGCTTCCTCTCCTGCTCCTGACAACATACCCAGTCTGCCCCGTGGAGAAAGAAGTCCATGGCCCAGCTGCTCCGTCACCCGCCGCCAGCCCTGTGGAGTAGCCAGCCTACATCGCAGAGAACCAAATTTATGTGCTAAAGAAATGTCTATTATGATATGCTACTGAGGTTTGCGGTTGTTACTAGAGCATTATTGTGGCAATAAATAACAATGATCTCATTTGCTTTTTTTTTTTAACCACAATCCTGTGAGGTTGGTAGAACAGGAAAAATCTACAATTCAGAGATGACAACAGGGAAGAGGGTGGAAACAAGTGCGTATTGAACACCTACTCTGAGCCAAGTCCTGGGCTTGGACTTTTCCCATGTATTAATGTCTTGCTGATACTCACAGCAACCCTGTGGGGCTGCTGTGTTATAAGGAGGAATACGGTGGCTGCAGGCAACGGTGTACTTGCTAATGTCCTATGGGATAAAGATCCATCATTACCTCAGATAAGACATCTGGAGGTATAAGCAATCCAGGGTTGATGAAGCAGCTCAGTAAAGTCGTCTAGGATCCAGTCCTCTTTCTGTTTGCCTGCTCCACCATCCTTGGTATGTTAGCCTTTCTATCTCAGGCTTAGCACCTGATGGTTGCAAGATGGCTGCCACAGCTCCAAGCATCACATCCCCACCCAACCTCATCCACAGCAGGAAGATGACAGTAGGACTTCCTGGCATATGAGGAAGAAAAGTCCTTCCTGGAAGTCCAATAGCCTTCCTCTTATATCTCAGTGGTTAAAATTGTATGTCCACCCTGAAACCAAGCGATAACAAAAAGAAAATGACATGACCACGCTTAGATTAGACCAAGTGTAGTTTACCCACTGAGTTTGCTAGACAGGCCCTTCTTCCCTGAGCATGTTTCATCTAAACAAGCTCTAAGGAGAAAGGAGACATTAGCTTTTAGATGAACAACAAGCAATGACATCCACAGTTGTTCTTATTCCCACTTTACAGATAATGAAACTGAGGCTTGGGTATTCAAATAAGCTGCCGAGGTCATCCAGCTAAGAATTGGTAGAGCTAAGATTCAAGTCCAGCTCTGTCTGGCTGCAAACTACATTGTAAATCTACTACATTGTAAAGGGTCCTTGATCAAATTTATGCAACTAAGCAGTGCCAGAGCAGGGCTAGGACCTGAGTCTCCTGGGTGGGAGCTTTAGCCTCACTGGCTGCCTGTTTCTCCCCCGCCTGGACATTCCCTTCACACACGCAGTCCTGTCACACTGCTCCCTTCCCCCCTTTCTTTTGAGTATTTTCAGTGGCTCTGGAGTAGCCATGGTTCCACGATTTATGGCGCATCACAGGGGGTGCTCCCACCCCATAATATATTCCAGCCTGAGACCCGGTCACGGCTTCAGGGTCCATAAAATGATTTAGAGACCTACCTTTCTCACCATAAATCCAAAAGCCTGTGCATCGCATTATTCGAACAAGGATATATGTACCTGGACCTGGTAATAGATAGCCCCCATCTACCCACCCCAATCCCCTGACTACTTCTCCCCAAGAGAAATGGCCTCAGCTCCAACAATTCAACAAATTTTACCGTTTCACTGCCTCCTTTCTGGCTCTCCAAGAAGCATCCCAGGGATGTCCCTTTTCTGTTCAGAAGTTCTAGTATGCCAGCTGGTTATGCCCACTGGTTGCTCCATACCAACTCCAGGTCAACTTGATATCCAAAAAAAGACCCTCTCGGGGGGTGGGTGGGTGGGTGGCTCACACTTGATCTCTGCTCCCACCCTCCACTGGGTCTGGGAGTTTGCTGGCATTTCCCACAGACCTATCACAGAGACAACGAAATGGGTTCCTACTCCTTCACAGACAGCCTTTTCTGTGTGGAACACACACACACACACACACACACACACACACACACACACACACCCCTGAAAGTCTCTTGGCATCCATTCAAACCTCCTCCCACCCCAGCCAGCCCCGTCCGCTTGGCCCAGAGACACCCTCCTAGACAGGTCAGTGACTGGAACAGTGGCCAACCTGCCTTGCTTGCCACCCCCCACCTCCATCCTGGAAGAAACACATATTCTTAAGCACTGAGTTTCAGAAACTTGAGGAAAAGCTCAAGGCTGATGTCACACATAGGCTGGGACTTGAAAAAGATGTAGAGGCCAAAGAACCACAGAATCTAGACCATACAACCAGAGCAAGAAAATCTTCAAGATCATCTAGGCCAGTGATTGTTAGCAGCAGAATATCTGTCTTCCAAATGAGTTGTTTACACCGAATCTCAAGATATAAAGTAAATGTAAGAGGGGTGCCTGGGTGGCTCAGTCAGTTAAGCATCCAACTTCGGCTCAGGTCATGATCACACGGTTTGTGAGTTCAAGCCTCACGTCAGGCTCTGTGCTGACAGCTCAGAGCCTGGAGCCTGCTTCGGATTCTGTGTCTCCTTCTCTCTCTGCCCCTCCCCTGTTTGCACTCTGTCTTTCTCTCTCTGTCTCAAAAATAAATAAACATAAAAAAATGTTTTTTTAATTCAGTAAATGTAAGTGAAACCACTCTAATTAAGCAGAGGTGGTAAACTTGGAGTATACCTTGACCCTCAGCAGAACCCTGGGCCCTGTGGCACACAGTTTGAAAACCATTGCTATAGTCTAGTTTTTAATTTTACCAATGGGGAAATTGAGGCCCAAATAAAGGAAATGATTTGTCATGCAAAATGTCCAGCCAAGCTGGAGCTGAGATGTCAGAAAATGTTCACCAAATCCAGAGGCCAAGGGATGCGCAAGGTCTCCATGCTAGAGCCTGGGGAGGAGGGAGCAGGTGAGGGGAGGGGAAGGGGGTCTGGTGGGAGCTGGGAGGACTATGCAAGTGGCTGGTTACCTTGGGCAGAGCTTCAGTAGACCGTTCTGGGGCTTGGATGAGAGGCCCTCCACCCCAGAGGGGAGGCCAGGCTTTTGTTCGTGTTCCCCCCACACCAGGCTTTGGGGAAGGATTCCCAGGGCAATCCTTCACCACACTCAACTCCTGACAGGCATTTAACACGCTGAATAAAAATATCAATCACTCACCGAGAACAGCTTCAAAGCGGAAAGTTGATTGAAGCTGGTCCAAGGCTACACTGTGGCCACAATTCTTGCGATGCGGTGGACCCCAGCGAAAGGCCCATCTCGTTTCCAGAGTCAGAACAGGGGACACTCACGCTCCATATGGGGCTGGACAGAGGGGCCAAGGGTCTAGGAACTGAGGAAGCAGAGCCAACATTTCCCTCCCTCCCCCGCCCATCCCACCGCCCAGTCTAACAAGATCTGGGGGAAGGGAAGTTTGAAGCAAAACTGAGGTGAAGGGTGCTATCGTTTTATGCAAATGAGGAAGGAAAGTAGGGACCTCCTAGGACAAGATGCAGAAAGTGGTACCTTAGAGCGGTGGTTCTCACGGGGTTTCCCAGAAGACAGTGTTAGCACCAGCTAGGCATTTACTAGAAATGCAAATTCCAGAGCCCCATCCCAGACCCAATGGAACAGAAACTCTGGGGACGGGGCTCAGCCCTCTTTGTTTTCCGTGCCCTCCGGGGCCCTGGCGTGCACCTGTCCCTGATGGCTTCAGCAGCACTTGGGCTGAGGAGACAGGGGTGTGAACGAGGCATTGGCGATTAGATCCTAAAGGGGACAGCTCGGGGGTGACCCTGCCAGGACTGCTGTCAGAGAGGAAAAAGAAGCGTGTTTCCAAAATAACAAATGTTGGCCAGGAGGTGGAGGAATTGGAACGCTTGTGCTTTGCTGGTGGGAAATGTAAAATGGTGCAGCCTCTGTGGAAAACAGTTTGGCAATTGCTCAAAAAGCTGAACGCAGAGGTACAGTTTGATCTAGCAATTCCAGTCCTGGGTCTGCGCACCAAGGAAGTGAGGCGGACCACAGGTGGGCGAGAGCTTGGGTCCTCACAGTGCTGCAGTGACACATCTCCATCAACACGGAGGCCCCACCGCGTCTCCTGCACCTCCCAGGGCCTGAACCAGAGCCCTGGAGGGGCCTGGGGCCCCCCCGCCCCCCACCTCAGCTGCTTGACCTGAGGGGAAACCAGGAGGCCTGGGAACTGAAGAAAATGAGTGCCTGGAGAAGAATGGCCGGGATATGAATCCTGGGGAGCATGTGGACATAGCCAGCCTATCACCGGTCTGACCCTTACCCTGAGGACACCCACCAGGATCATGTGGAC